ATATATCTACGTAAGCTTTGTTGCCAATTGATATCTACTCTTCTTAGGCCCTCTAAGATTTTTTGCTTGCTACTGACGTTCAGTTTAAGCTTGTTCTGAAGGTGAAAAAGAGTAGTAGAAGACACCAAAAGCTCGTTCTGAAGGTGAAAAAGAGTAGTCGAAGACACCAAAACTGCAAGACTAAGCTATTAGCAATAAGCTACTTTTTCATGTCTACAGACGCCCTTTCGAGGTGTTCTCCGTAAACCACATAACCATATTTAAGGCCTTTCCGGACGTTTCACTCCTTTAATATACCAGGTGTGTAAGTATGAAACCGGAATTTGCCTATAGGTTGCACTATAAGTCGATGCAGTGTCTTGTTATTGTATTGATATCCGATAAAGATTTCCAACACCCAATAGGATGAGTCTCATGCAACAACAATAGTTCATTAGAGATTTTTTTTCATCTGAAGAAAACAGCAGCCGAATCGCATCGAATTGTGACTGGCGATGAAAAGTGTATATATTGGGAGATTCCTAAGCACAAAAAGTCATGGATTACTCGGGGTGCACCATCAACATCGACGGCAAGACCAAACCGTTACGGGCGAAAGGAAATGCTGTGTGTTTGGTAGGATCAGAAGTGGAAAAATCTACTACGAGCTGCTATCAATACTCAACGCTACCGACAACAAATGACCGATTTGGACCGAGTTTTGAGTGAAAAACGACAAGAATACCATCAAAAACAAAAAAAGGCGATGCACCAGCACATAAAGCAAAACAGGTCCAGGAAACGATAGAGTCCTTCCGTTGGGAGATTCTTCAGCACGCAGCTTACTCACCGGACCTTGCCCCGTCTGATTACTACTTGTTCGATGGGACACGCACTTGCTGAGCAGCGTTTTACTTCTTACGAAGATGTACATGGCTCAATGACTGGTTTGCCTCAAAAAAGAGCAACAGTTCTTTTGACGAGGAATCCTCAAATCGCCAGAAAGATGGGAAAAATGTATGGATAGCAACGGACAATACTTTGAATAAGGTGCTTTGTATCATATCATTACAATAAACGTGTTGTTTCTGCTCGAAAGTTCCGGTTTCATACGTACACACCTGGTACGTACTCTTTTCTGCGACGCCTCCTTCAACGTGGTTTAGTTTTACACCGCTTTTCGTTTTCAGCTAAAATTTTTTTAAAATATATTCATTTGAAGCCCTGGAGTTACGTGCCCATAGCGTAGAATTTAAATTAATCCCTTCCCACTCTTACACAAACTGAGCTCCTCAAGCAATTCTGAGTCGCAAAATAAAAAGTCTTTAAATAGGTAATGGAAAAGCAAGTGCATTGGATTAACTAAATAATTACTGTACTCCCATTTACTGATATGTTTCTAAATAATGATAGCTCAGTGCTGGTTTGTAACAAAAATATATAAAATTTTGTTGTAAATGTCCTTACCTCTCTACAGGCGGGAATAACACCTTTGGATGTCTTTCTGAAATGAAAGCTCCTCATAAAATCGCATTGGCTGTTCGGGGGCGGCTTAGAATAATCTTTAGATCCCTCCATTTGTTGGAAAAACATAAAGACACCTACCACAAATTGGGGTAGAAGTCCGGCCGACAAACATAGTGTATATCACTTTTGTTCCAGGTCACACGGATGTAGAATGCATTGAAGAAGCGGACGAGATGGCTTGCGCTGGCGGGGCTGTAATTTCGACTGCCTTAAACCCTTCAGCGTCTTCAAATGTCTATCTTATACCACTACCCTACATTAAGCAGGGCGAGGTTTTGTAATTGTGGGACCCTACTGCTGGATGGTCTATCGAAGATAGCTCGTCATAGTCAAAGTCATGGATCTAATGAGATTTATTAGACAATGAAAATGGATGGAGGATAAAGCCTGATGGTTTTAGTTTTTGTGGTATTGCAATGGATCTAAGTCAGGCCTACGTGAATCCGGTCTGTTAGATCGTTAGCCACCGCAACCTAACCTAAACTGTACACCTTCCCCTTGTCAGCGCATTAGGTCTGAGTGTCATTTGCTGAGGCCTAGATAAAATGAAAGACATTGTAATTTCAAGTTACGGTTATTACTAATGGATTTTCATACAACTAGAAATTTATTTTCTTTAGAACAAAAACTGTAGAGAATGTCGGCTTTTCTGCTATTCCTCCAGCGTAGTAATGACTTAGCGGTGATAATTAAAAGTAATTATGGTAATTGCAAACTTATCTATTTTTCCTTTACCTTAAATAGAGTGAGAAAAAAAATAATTACTTGCAACATTCCTAACTCTTTGCCCTTTGAGAAGCCATCTCGGGAAGATAATAATTTTAAAGGTAATTTATTTAGTTTTCCATTGAATATGCTTTGGTCAAACAATTTTTCGCTACTACAAATGCAGTGATAACAAATTTTCCCAAGTCAATTTATAGCTTATTTTATGGAACCACCTACATAAGTATCTCCATGAGATTCTTAGTTTTTGCCACGCCGATAACATCTGGAGAAAAGTTTATATAGCCCGTATGTGAGAAAATATATTTAAATTTAGAAATGAATATAATATTTCTATACATAACATATGTCATCGATACAGTTTTGAGTTTCTGTGGTAGTTCGGTAATTATCTTCACATGTTCCCATACTGTACACTTCGTAAACTAAACGAATGAGAAGGAATAATTGGAAATGTTTAGGATTCATTTTGTTGTTTTCGAAACAACTTCTTCGAAACAGTTTACTACCTTGGCCGTAAGTACATATGTGCTTGTTCATTTCACATTCATTTGTAAACGTCCTGGGAGTACCTTTGTAGATGCCACACACGGGATTTGGCTCCAGGGCACACAATGTTTCTTGGCAAATATTTTGACACTCATCTTTAGAAATTTCGCGTAGCTCTGAAACGTAAGGGGGAATTAAGACCAAATGTGTTGTCTTTCTTGTTTAAATTCACGATCAAATTACCATCTTCCCCATTTTGTTTTCGCTGGCAATTTTCGAGGTACAACAGACAAGGATTTACAATTACAACACAGCTATTGTTATTAGCCGTCGTCCAGACGAGATTCTCAAAGTCTACGAGCCAGCGAGCGCTTTTATATATTTATTATTCTCTCCAAACGTTACTTGTATTATGGGTATGTGAAGTTTGCTTTTTCTTTCTTTTATCATAAAAAAAAATCTGGAGTATTAATTGAAAGTTTTTAAGACGCATACGTCACCTCTTTAGATGTGGTTCCTAGCTATCTAACTGACTAACTAACTAACTGGTTTTTTATGAAGACCTTTAATCTCATGTCAGAAGTACACTCGAGGAGCTTAAAATTTTTTACCTAGAGGCGACTTCTATTAGAAAATTAAATTCCTATTATTTCAGTTGTTAGTTGGAGCAGGCCTCGAACCATTGCCCTCGGAGTTTCAGTACGCAATACTGACTATTACTATGTACTTAATATTGTTCAAATAAATCATATAAATATACCTAAATTATGTTTTTATTGCGACTTTATTTCAATGTTTGAAAATTATTTATGAAAAAATATACACCTACTAGTGTTTATTTTTATTTATTTGTTTATTTGGCAAAACTTTGGCATGCTTTCACTTCTGATTTGGCATTGTTAAATGTTCTTCAATGTGAGATAGCGGTCATAAGCGAGTTTGTACATATATGTATGTATGTGACTGATATAAACACCTTACCGAAATTTCTTTTCTGTTTACATACCCGTGTTTGCATATGCTATTTACTATTTTTATAATTCTTAAAATACATTAAATACAAACATACTTATGTACAGATCTAGATTTAGGGAAGCAAAGCAGAGTATATATTAATTTAAATGAGAAATATGTTTAATTTTAATTTTAATTTTAATTTTAATTTTAATTTTAATTTTAATTTTAATTTTAATTTTAATTTTAATTTTAATTTTAATTTTAATTTTAATTTTAATTTTAATTTTAATTTTAATTTTAATTTTAATTTTAATTTTAATTTTAATTTTAATTTTAATTCCATAGAAATTTTAATTTTATTTTAATTTTTAATTCCATAGAAATTTTGATTTTAATTAATATTTTAAATCTGGTATAAATTAAAAAATTTATCCGGCAAAAATAACTAATAAATATTTTTTTCGCAAACCCTTGAACTGAATCTTAAGTAAATCTAGTCATGAAGACGATTTTTGCACATAGCTCAATCCCAGGATCACTTCCCAGTAATAATTGTAGTATTCATGCTGGCCTCAGCAAAAAGCCAGCTATGAGCAGAATTTCAAATAAATGAAACCAAAATTAAATTTTTTCGAATAGGTCAATCCCGCTATAGCGATAAAAGGCGCTAATTGTGGTAATAATAGGTCCCAGGTCCATTACTTTCTACTTTAAAGTCTGAAATGTTTTCATTCATTCGGGCTTCTGCACCACAGGAATGGACAGGAATGATGAGGAAATTATTGAGTTTTGTCGTTGTCGAGAGAGGTTTTTACTTTTCAATTGCCCACTCAGTCCAAAGACTGCGTTGCAAAAGTGAAGATCTGAAATCAAAAAGTTCAATTTCATATTTATTTTTGAGGTGAAAACATTAATTTTATTACTGTAATAATATTTTTTACTATAAGAGTTACACTACAGCACACCATTATAACACTATCGAGGTACACGCGAGCATACTTCAGTCACTTTCAGTTACTCTGACATCATGGCATGTTTGTTAAAAAAAAAAAAAATTATAACTAAAGCAGCACTAACGTCTATCAAGACGCGAGTATGCACACCAAAATGTCCAAATTTTGTAAAACTCTAGTCACGTACTGCCGAATTTCTGAAAAATGCATATTTGGGCGCATGACATTGCAAGTACGAGTATTTGCATAATTATCATTTTCAATTCATAAAAAAATAGTTTTGAATAAATATTTATATAAAACTGCCTTCAGAACATTCAGTAGCTGTTTTCGAAATAAAAACTCCAAGCGCTTAATTTATGTTTAATTTTTAAATTCAAGTTGCCTTAATTAATTGTAATTATGCCTGCAAGTTTTTTGCCGATTGTCTGCACACTGTGTTTCTTAGCACCAGCCGTCTTCACACAAACACTGCCATGTCCATTGAAGTACAAGTGTCATGCAGAGGAAGCACCGGTTTGGGGCAGTGAAATTCGTAGGTGTCACATTTTCCTTAATAAATGTTTTCTAGCAAATGAAAACTGTGAACGTCTGAATAATCAACTACCGAGTGAGTGCAATTTTAAATTCAGTTTTGCTTAACTTTCTACTTAAATAAAATTGAATATAAACATACAAATTTACAGTGTTGAAACTTGAAAGCCAAGAGATTTGCCAGCAAAAATGCGTTCAATCCTGTTCAGCCGTTGTAGCGCCTGTATGCGCCTTGTATAGAGGACAACTGAAAACTTTCTCAAACCAATGTGTTTTAGATAAGCAAGCTTGTGAATTGGCGGAACGTAAGTGGAATGATTTTATGAAAAAAATATGTACTGAATTTCCAAAAATCTCTTAAAAATTTATATTTGTCCTCAGCCTGGCATTATCTCTTCGCAGGGGATTGTGATTCGATATTCTCCATTGAAGAAAAGAAAGTTATTGCATAGATAATGAAATTTTTAAATTTATAATTATTTTAAAAGAGATAATAAAACTGACCTCGTTTTTTTCATTATTTTGAAATATGAAAAAGTAAATTTTAAAAATTGTGCGGCGATTTAAATGCGTCACAGATAGGGAACTCTAGTAGGGGAAACTTACTGGCTAAGGATTTGTGACACTAAGAAACTAAGTTCAAAAATCGGAAACTGAAATTGCGATGAAATTATTGTCTTAATTTTCGCTTGCCTATTAATGTGTTGTTGATGCTTTCCGTGTAGTTTTAAGCCTTACCTGCTAATTTCGAGCTTCTCCTATAGCAAAGTCTTCCACCCGGACACTGCCACTCCATCAGCCATTTTTAATTCACCCATGGAGATGTTACAAGTTCGACAGGCAGGCCGCATTTTCTTGCACCTTCTTAATGAATGGTATGAGTATGTGGTTTGTTTCTTAATCCATACCCCTGCATTTCGAGCTGTGTTTGAAGATTCTAGTGTTCTAGTGTTATAAACTTTCAAGTGCTGCCTTTGTAGTGCTCCTTAGTGTAATACATTGTGTAATGAGCATCGTGGCATTTTCCCAAAAGACCCGTCGCTACGAATAGCCACAGGAGTGATGTCAGAACACCACCCTGAAGAGTTCCACTTCGCGCCACCCAGAGCTTCGTTCTACTCTGCCATTAATCCTCCTGCAGCTCATCAGTGTGTTTTTACAGATTGAACCTATGCTGTTTCTAGATTTTCCACTATTGCCTGACGGAAGACATATACCATAAAGAAAGGATTTTAAAAATAGAAAGAAGTAAAAATAAGCTTCAAAAAAATGGATGGCTGCTACATGTTTCCAGCTTCCCACATACTCTCGCTTCGTACTTCAGTTGGTACGGATATATTATATTTTTCAATTGCACTCGCAGAAAATTTCGTCTGTTTAGGAACTATCCAACTCAGAATCACGCTTTCCACGCTTTGAACTGAATAAGCAATTGAAAAAAAAAAAACGAAAGTCGTCTCTCAAACAAAGGTTTAGCTCATCAATTCGTTCATCAGTCCCACCCGTTTCACCGGACAACGATGACATGCGATGAGTCGATGTTTTGTATTTTCGAGGAAAGGTTTCATGTACAATTTATGAATTTATGAACCTTTGCGAATACCATCCACGATGGAATGATGCGCTGTATGAGATGTACGAAGGTATTGACATTTAAAGACAGCCGTAACTCTGACTAGGCCATGGCGTTTGGATGGATGAAAATACTGACGTTTTAAATATTTTGCTGCTGTACCTGTTGATTGAAACAGAAGAGGAAGAACTCTGGAGATGTAGAAGGACCTGGTGTCTACGCCAATTAAGAATACGAATAATTATTGCGATTTTGCTTTTGAATGAAAATTCCAGAAAACTTTCATGGGTAGAATTACAGCATATATGTAGACAAAGGGTGGATCGAATCGTTTGGAAGCCTTTTCCCCATTTAGGACCCTCATTTCTTGTGTACCTCCGCTTTCAAGTGAAGCAAAATTTTTTACGTATTTTCCAAGAGTGAGTTTTATGGGGGTGCATCCGACCAATTGGTTGTGGTGAGGAGGAAGTCCAAAATTATCAATAATCATGCGAGTATCCTGAGCTTCGGACCAACAAAGCATATTTTCATCTGTTGCTTGTTAAATTAAAGTATTGTATTGTCCGCTGATGAGCTTACTGGATTTAGGAATGAAAGGATCGAAAATATAAATAGAAGAAATATATAATCATAACACTCTCTTCAATATTTTCCTTTCTGGTCTCTCATAACCCAAGGTGTTCGAAACTCCTGGCTATATCAATTTAGGGCTTATTTATTCGTCTCTAACTATTTACTGGACTTCTTATGGAGAATGAAAAATTAAACGTTTTTTCCTAAATGTGTACATTGAATGTCCCCATTGACATGACTTAATAGTCCGTTGTCCGCTTGCAGCTAATAAAAACCCACCTTCTCCATCTTTAACTACCTACTTGGATTTCGTTGAATTCGATTATCGTTCAAAATTGTTGAGTCTTGTATAAAGCAGACAGATGCTCCGAAATCAACATGGGAACCGTAGACCATGCAGAATTCCTGAAAGGCATTACAACAGGTGACGGGTGCCGCACTTACGGATATGACGTCGAAATTAAGGCTAAACCGCATTAGTGGAGGTATTATATGGTTCGCCAAGACCGAAAAAGGTTCGACAAATGTGGTTTAAAATGAGGGTTATGCCTTCTGTTGCATTTTCCTATTTCCGAAAATAAAAAAATATAAAAACTCGTCGTTTTACAGCCATAGATGACAATAAAATTGCTTCGCTGAAAAAACTAAGGTCTATTTCAAATATCGAGTTGTCATGTTTTTCAAGATTTGGAAAAAACGTTGGGAATTATTTTGAAGGCAATGTCATCAGTGTAGATATACAAACATAAATATATTACAATATATTACAATATATGAGTTTGCGCGTAAAATTAAAATCATCTTAAATATTGATCAGCCCCCCGGCCGCCTATAGGCCGCTCCATATGTTGGTAAAACTCCAAGATGCCTACCCAAAGCGTGTTAAAAGATAGATCCAAAATCGCTTAAGTGCAACATAGAAGGTGTGATTTATGTACACAAAAACAACTTCAACAGTGATGCAATGAAAACGGAAAAGGCTCTAAATAACATACATACGCTCAAGTCGGTAAAGTATACATATAAACGTTTATTTTTTTATTTATACAACTGTATATATATACCAAAAGATCTGTTTTGATAATAATACCGGCATTTGTTGGTATATAAAAGTTTTTGTTATTATTTATTTAAGTTAATTATTTTTTTCAATTAAAACAAAAGCTGGCGAGCTCCGCAGCTGATAAAATAATTTAAATGGGCAGTGTTCATGAATTTTCGAAAAAACTACATAACTCGTTCTAAGAATTCGGGAAATAATATATATTAGTTTTTAGTATTTTTTTTTTTTTAAATATAATTTGACTCTGCTAAGCGCTGTCTTGGTTTGGTTTTATTTATTTTTGCTACGAATAATTTTTAAAAGCAAATGCATTTTTTTCTTTATCAATAAATCTCGTAAATTTTTATTAAAATTGTTTTAAGAGTTTTTATTTACAAAACTAGCACAATTCCAGATAAGCACTTTTCGTAATTAAACACAAAAATGCCAGCACGTGCAATTATGCAACGGCTTGCAAATACAATTGACTGTATGTATTTAATTTTTTGAAAGTAAAACCGAACTAAAACAAAAAAAAACCATAATAATTGTAAAAGTGCATAAAACCCCGCGACAGCAAAAACTAAAATTTATTTCAAAAACCAAGCGCCACTACTACTAATTATATCTTTTCGGCTGTTTTATTTCAGTTAAAAAAAAAATATTAAATTTTTTAATAATTTTTATTTTGTTTTTCAAACACATTTCTTTCAAAAATGTATAAACGTGGCTTAGAACAACTTTTACTTATTTTTAGTTTAACACTCTCTTTGCTCACAAGCACACTCGCTCTCTCTCCCTCACGGCCCGACCCCTACACATTGTCTAGATTTTCAAATACTGAGCAAGTCGTCTGGTCCACAGATGGTAGTAGCTGTTTCGTATTTCGTAACGCTTGTTTTTGGCAAAATGAAAATCGTCAGCGGCAATATAATAATCAACCGGGTGAGTTTGAATTTGCCAACTATTTTTACAGGCTTTAAGTCTCGTTATTATTTTTTGAATCTACATTCTTCTAATAATTCTACAGCATTGCGACAAGTCATTAGAGCCGAGTGCCAACGTTTGTGCAGATACATGTGTCCAGCCGTCTTTATTCCAGTTTGCGCAGAATATAATGGTCTTAGGCGCACATTCTCAAATAGTTGCCAATTGGGCGCTCACATTTGTCGCACTGGCCAAAGTGAGTTTGGGGAAATATTTGATGAATTTAATTTTTTTTAATTTTTCATTTAATTTCATTAATCCAGCTTATAGCCTGTTCGCACAGACGCAGTGTGTTTAAAATGCAAAAATATATACACACAAATGTACGTAAAACCAAAAGTGTAAAATTTCTGAGCTTTCCTGCAACTTTTCAGAAAGAAGCTTTTCGGAAAGTGAAATAATAATTAGATAAGAAAATATTTAAATTTATGGATAAAATGTGATATGGTTCAAACGGCCATATATCTTAAAATAAAGGTTGTTCTTTTGGCAAGTGGTTTTAGATTTTGTCTGAGCAGCTGCTTCTGGATTTATACCCAGTTTGGCTTGACATTTCATTGTTACCGGACTTACCCAGAAGCAACATTTGCAAATCGTGAAAAGTTATAACTAAAACAAAGGTTTAGTTCCCGCTACGTGTAGCCCAACGTCCAATAGTCAGTCGGTATAATACCCCATCAGAATCGGTAACTCGAGCAACCATTGATAGGTTTCGCACCACGTTCACTCTAATGAATAATGCGCATCCTCAAAGACGCCGTACATTGCTCTCCGAAGGCGATATTGCTGCTGTGTGGCAAAGTATCGAAGAAGACCCGAATGAGCACAACGCACGCAGTTGGAGCGGTATCCATTCATTTTATAGAAGGTATTCCGGATGGATCTTGGTTGGTGAGCTAATAAAATCACATTCCCGACTTCGATTCAGATTTGTACAATTTTGTTCAGCGACGAAGCTAACTTTTTGTTGAAAAAACAAATGGAACGTTTGGAGTGGTATTTAACCACAGGTCATGATTGAAACACCATCAAATTCTCAAACAGTCATTATTTGAAGTGCATAAGGGCGCAGTGAACAATTGGTAGATATTTCTATAAAACTGAAGACTGTCCTAATGTTACAGTCAATGGGAAACTCTATTGAGCCATGATTATTGACTTTTTCGTTTTTGGTGAGCGCAACATCTCTTAGTGGGCCTACAAGGTCGTAAGATTTAACATCGACGGTCTATTTGTTTCAAGAGTTATTCCATGTAGCTTGTCTACGCAGATTAGCCCAAGACGATTACCGTATTGGGAAATATATTTCCGCGCATTATTGCTACATCCTGACAATTGCTGCCAAAAATGGTCTGGTAGGACCTCTCGGCTGGAATTAATTGAAGGATTTTTGCTTTTGGCAAAATAAATATTTTATTATACAATACAGAAAAATAGTAGAAGGGACCACATCTTCTCATCAGACCTCTCCTACCATAGATCCAACCATCCAACGGATCCACACTTAACAGGCTAGTGCTGTTCCACTAAAGATGACTAGATACGAAACTTACTCAAAATCATTCTAATTGAGAGCGTTCCACCATCTCACATTCTAATGTTGGGAGTATCAGATCGGGGAACATTCAAAAGCGGGCGTGGTAATTAGCATAATGACAAGAAGGCTATCAAAGATATGGAGCAGCCAATCGGAGGCTCTGGTGATTGCAGTAAGTTCAGAGAACTTTGCGCAAGGGAGATTTACCCTCAAGCAGTCGCGCGTAGGCGAAAGGACCTATGGGATATATATTAGCGAAATAAGACACTCGTTTCTTTTTTTTTTTGAATTTAGAAATATTATCATTGTGCTTAGGATCATAAAAGTCGCAAACTAGTAACTTAAATTTAGAAAAAAGGTAACCGGCTAAAGGTTAAAACAGAAGGAAGAGAGTGTGCAGTCTACTACTTCCGGAATTTGTTCAACATTTGGTATCCGGGCATGAGCTATTCTTCGCTTCACCCAAGGTCGGGTTACGTTAATTAACTACGCTGTTCGCTTATAGTTTCCTGTAGATATATAGTGAAAGAAAGTAGAGAAAAGTTTCTGGAACATTTGCTAGAGTCAATGGATCTTTATTTGTAAAAACAATTGTCTGAAAACAATCCGCTGTCCTCTGTGCAGTTTGCTCCTTAAAAAGATTTTGTCAAATCCACTGAAACGAGGACATCGTTGAACAGGGTCTCACTACCGTATTATATATTTTGGAAACAAAATAAGGCCTTAAAGCCCATTAGTAATACAAACTAATCTCTCTGCCTTTTATTGAGCGGTGTGAAGTTGGTTGAAGTGCAACCCGCTGTCCGTACATCATTTTCTTCCTATGTGAAGTGTATTTTGAAGCCTTGTATATTTCTTAGGGCAAACTCACCTGTCGTTGTGAGTGTCGTATTGTCACGTACGCTGCTACCACTTCACCACTAGTACTTCACAATTTTCAGTGTAGCGTGTAAGATGCCACAGCAGCGGAGGCATTACTCCTCTTTGATGCGCTGTTCCGACGCTTTTCCTCTGGATGGAGTCCAGTAGTTTAGTTATTGACTATCCATTTTGGAAGAACACTTTTCATAGTCTCGTCCAATTCCACCATGACGCAGGATTTGTATTTGATTTCTCGCAAGAGTTTTCGAAGGTCGTCAAGCAGACTCTTCGAAAAAAAGCTAGGCCAATAGACCTTAAGTAGAAGAACTTAATTGGTTCTTCTTCTTTGGGTATGCTCACAACTTTAACTAAAACTGGATAATGTATACCCCGCGCAAGGAGGGAATAAATGTCTTCAGCCATCTGTAATTGAGTGCAAGTACGCCCACTATCCCTGGCTATTTACATGATTGTATTTTATAACCTAAGCACATTTTTTCGCTTCTCAGAATAATGAAGAAAAGTTGCGGCATCTCTTTTTGGAATTTCGCCCTAAGGCAGTTCCCCTAGCCATACTCGAATTATCCTAACTGTAACAGAGAAACTTGGTATTTCCTTTGGAATTATACTTCAGACTGGAATTATTAAAATTCACTATAAAAAATTCATCGAAAAATCAGCCTGACTAATGAGGCTCATTTCCACCTCGATAGCTACGCCAATTAGCAAAACCGTCACATCTGGGGCCCGAAAAAACCAAGATTTATTGTTGAGAAGTGTATAAGTTTGGTGCAGTTTATGATCCGACGGACTTTGCTTCTTCGAAAATTAATGGATTGCGCTATCGAGATTCATGATTTTTTATGGCCCGAATTGTATGGTATTGATCTGGACCTCGTTTAATTTCAACAAGACGGCGCTACGTGCCACACAAGTAAAGGAAAAGTTTCTCTTAATATGATAATAACACCTCTTATTGACAAATCCTGAATGTATTTATTCAGTGTTTGACTTCGTGTGATACCGATATTGGGTCTATGTATTATTCTGATCTTAGCGAAATCCCCCAGCAAAAAAAAATTTAAAATATAAAACGACAGCTGGAAATTATTCATGAAATATTCTCCACGAAAATCAAAAATTTTTTTATCATACAATAAAATTAACATTTTACAAACAAACAAATTCCGAACTCAATCAAAAGCGATTTCGCCTCTCCTTCGCACCGACCAGGCCCACCAACAAACTACTTTAATTCACAACAAATAATTAAATTTTATTCGCTTATCGCAGACGACTAATTAAATTTCTATTTCTTATGTAAATACTATACATACCTATGTATGTATGTTTATAACGCATTAATATACAAATTTACATTATCTACAAAATTAATAGAAACGAGAAAATTAACGACATCAAAGAAGACCTACCCAAAATACATACAAAAAGTGGATAGAAAAGAAGAAGAGTGAATGGTAAAATTAATGAATTCAAATGTGGCAACAAAGTGGCTAAAATATTGCTCTGGCTGGCTATTTTGGCTTACCAGGACACCGTTAGTCAGTGAGAGTTGAGATGAGCTGAGGGGGGAATTTTTAACAAAAGAACATTTTCATAATGAAAATATCGCCATTAAAACGAACGTAACAACTTTAGATAGAGGCAAAGCGCGAAACAACTGCAGCAACAACAACAACACTAAAAAGCAGTAACAGAAAATTAATAAAAAAAAACACGCTGTGTTCGGCAATTAAAATAAAATACACACACTTGGCGAAGTCATCGTTTTTTGACCACAAAAACATTAAAAGCCATAAAACTAGATGAATATATACATACATGACATATAATACATACATACTCATATAAAAATGTAAGCATTTTTTATTAGTATGTGTGGAGAAATTAGGCAGTGGCAGGACATGTGGCAGGCGTAAGGACAAATAATTTAGTTTTTTTTTCTAGCAAAAAGGATAGTTGAAATGTGTTTATCAGTTTTTATACATATGAACATATATATGTGAAATTGTTTGCTTCATGCGTGTGTTTGTATGCCTATGCGTTTATGCTCGTTTATGTGGCGTAAATTGAAGCTAATCACGAACATCTCATTGGGCATGGATATGGTGGCGACGGAGGTCAATCGCCTTTTAGCCAAAAAGGAAAAGGAAAAAAGTTGAAAATATATGAAATAAAAAGTTGCTTTGTTTGTCGAAAATTTTATGCCTTTCACGTTTATATATAGGATTATTTAATTGTGATCTTCAAGCAACTCAAGCTCCTATACAAACTGACGTATATAGAAAGCAGTTTCATTTATTTTTACTACTAAATCTTGGAAGATTAGCGCTATTAGTTTGTCATAGCGAATAAACTCAATTCGAAGAGTACAGAATTTAATTAGACTAAAGAGCGAACTCTATACAAAAGCTCTTTCAGAGTGTCAACCGTTTAAAAATGAACAGAAGCTGTTTCGAGTCGGGTTACACATCCAGAAAATGATGACGAACAGAATATAAAATTTTCGTCTGATTGCGGTCGAAGAAATGATCAGCGCACTATGGTCCTGGGGATCACTTTTTGTGGTCAAAATTATCGGCTTGCAAAGTAGATGATATTTTTCGATAGGATTTTCTCTTCATGATATACGAAGCTTCAGAGTTTTTCCTGGCAGAGTGTG